GTTAAACACCTTCGCCACGAGAAGGCAGTGAGTAAGGCTTCCTCAGCAGTGGTTATTTGAGACGCTTTGTCGTATGGGAGCATTTCCCGAGGGAAGGGTGATCCTAGACATCTATCTTCGACATAGAGAGGCTTTCGGAGGCCAAAGCTTTCTTAATAACCGTTAGATTTTGCCCAGTGAAATTGAGCACTCAGACGGTTCCTCGGGGTATCGTGTATCTCCCTTGCTGATTGTCAACACAAACTTTGTCAACGCAAACCACTGGAGGAATAATTATCCACGTTGCGGTTGCATGTTTTGTATTTCAGATTATCGTATCCACAGATTTACAGAGCCACTATGTTTGATGAGATTCCTTTATACCCGAAACATTAAAACCATCACCGATCAGATGGAACAAAAGTGTTCTGAATGAAAAAGAAAAACTCGTCTTCACCTGATTGTCTGTTCCCATGTGAGTGGTTTTTGTTCCCCGGGGAATCGACAGCTGCTCTCCCTTAGCGGACAATTCTCGGATGGCATACTAGTACGCAGACACACACACACAAAGCTGGTTTGGTGTTTGCCACCTCGAAACATCTCTGACTTTGCAGAGACATTTGCTTGTCTGTGAGTGTATGTTGAATAAATTTGGTTTGCCTACGCCTTGGCTACTACTAGGGGAACAAGATAGAAATAGACTATGGACATTGGAGAAACGTTATCTACACACGAGTGTGGTGGGTTATCTGGGCAAACGGAACCCAGATTACACGCGTTGTGACGTAATCACGATCGCACAATGGAGTAGGTGTTTAGAATCTATAGATTGAGGTGGATAAGCGTTGCGTATCACCAGATAGGCTTCCTTGAAGGATGAATTTTGCCGAGGAAGGAAGTGAGTGTCAAAAGTGGTCAATGATCTGGACTGAGGACATGAAAATGCTAACCAGGTGACCAGGTTGCGTTTAATTTCCGGGGTTGGTAACCGCAGTTTGATAATAGGGTAGAGAAACTGAGCGATGAGAGTTGAGTGTCGGTCGTGCACAGTGGTGCATTCACTTGATTTCTTTTCAAATTTAATTTGAATGCATTCTGTATCGGCAGTTTGGTACTTTGCCCAGGTTTCTACTTCTCCCGTTCAGTGTTGCATTCAAACAGGCATTACAAAGACAGCAACAAAACCGCCACAAAAGTGAAAGACAAATATTTGTATTATCTAGAAATGAAATTGCACGTTCATTCACTGTCTTCCGCTTCCTTTACCTCTCCAACTGGAATGAACGACATGATAAATTCGTGTCAATGATACGTGACCTGAAAATCTGGAAAACACTAAACAGCAGTTTCGCCCTGGTTGGATCTCATCCGTGCAATGCGAATTCATCGACCCAACTGGGGATCGAATGCGATAGAACACAAGCAGCTGATCAGACCGTTTCTCTTTTTGAATATACACGACATAGCCCAATCCATTTCCGCTATCTTGTTGAGAGTATCGGTCTTGGCTCACCTCAGCACCGGCCTCATTCCACAAATAAATGGAATCCCCCATTACCCTCATACAATAAATAGGCAGGTTGTGAAAGTTTCCAACCCATTCATAACCCTGAAGGCTAGTGCTGGGATTGGTGAGGCGCGATGCTCGCAACAAGCTTGCGAAGATGGGTAGTGCGATATCGTGTATTACAGAATGAAAAACGGTCTGATCAGCTGTCCGGTGGCCGAATGAGTAGTACCCCCGCGTTCTACCTGTGGAAAGAAGTAATTTATCATTCCTTGTTGGAACAGATGATTTCATTTGTTTCCCAATTCAAACATTTCCCCAATCAAGTTCAGTCAACAAGTGAAACTCACAGTCCCGTTGGTGATTAGAAATCCCTGTTGGAACATTTTTCATGGGAAAGCCGATTTTTTGCCACGCGGCCGCACAATTTGGTCACCGTCAGAGTTGACTTTATTTGTGAACTTTTACCCAGTTTTCACACCGACGTTCTACAAAACTAAAGAAGGCTTATACACTCTGGCGATTTTCGCATCAGCTGGTATCAAACCATAAGAACAAAGTGAGAACAGATTTTTATGTATTTTTTCTCTGATCAGAATGAATCTACGAAAAGAAAAACAGAGTATCCAACATGCATCCAAACTGTTGTCTACCGGAATGCTGGCTACAAAATGTCATAGTTTATTTTTCTTAAACGGAAGACCCGAACAAATAATGGACAATCAGGCACCATGGGACTATTACTGGCCAAACAGCGAATCCTTGGATTTTCCGCCCCACCTGAGGCATCATTCATCCAATCAGTCAGTCAGCAGTAGCAATTCTGTGGAATTTTTCTCTTACCATTGTTGATTTCGGTACGGGTTGTCGATTGCCAAAGGTGGGTAACATATCACTGAGGGCTAAATACGGTACTTCGGCCAAGAGGGAAAAGACATCTTGACATTTAAAGGCATTCAATGAGAGGGAACGGGACAGGGACCAAGTAACAACGTCGTTTAACTTGCTTTGAATTTCTGAAGCCTCTTCAGGAGTGGATGCTTTGCAATCTAAAACAGCGTCATCTTCGTATTTACAGCCAATCGATGCAAGAGGAATGGGAAATTGTTTGACATACATTTAAAAGAAGAGTGGGGAAAATTTGCACCTTGCAGAACACCAGAAGAAACTGGGCGAGTGGGGGAATTTTCGCTGTCGAGTCACGTAAACTGCCTTCTATTTGTGAAATAATGACAGATCAATCTGCTAAAGTTTGGACTAACATCCCTTTCGGTAATCAGGTTGAGCAATACTGGTCGATCAAGATTGCCGAAAGCGTTTTTTTAGTCTAAGAACAGCATTCTGACGGTCGTACTTTTTTATTTAGTGCCGAAATTATTGAATGAACAAGGTATGCAACGGCATAAAGTGTTGAGCGCGAAGAGCGATATGAAAATTGTTGTATGTCGTCTTCCTCAGACTTAGTGACCACCAACGGTAACAAGCATCTCTGAAATAATTTAAGCATGAATGTGGTGCAGGCGATGGTGCGATACTTACCAAGTTCCTTTTTAGGAACGGGAGTTATTTTGATCAGTCTCCAAATACCAGGGATTTTTCCGCTTATCAGACGGTCATTGAATATTTTAGACAATGGGACTGAAAGGGTGTCCGCGCATACCTTGGGTACTACGGGTGATAGTTCATCCGGGTCCGATGCTTTATTCAACCTAGTTTTCAGCAGCTAGTTTAGGACTGTGGCGGGTTCGATAGTTGGTGCTGGCATAGAGCTGACTAAGTATGACTGAGTATGCTGTTAAAAAAGCAACCGGGATTTGCGGAACAAAATCACTCACCTGGACGTATAGTGGCAAATTGAGCCGAAAATTGAAGTCACCAAAGATGACCAAATTTTGATCTTCATACTGATCGGCCTCAAGTCTGGAAATTTCAAAGCAGAACGGGATTTGACGGGGGAATGGGGGGAGGGGAGGGGAGGGGAAGTAGGCACGTCTGAACATCAAATCGAGTGATCTGATTGGTTGGATGTATTCATTAACGGATTCATTTTTCAGAAAACAAACTGATGCGGGAAAAAATTAAATTTCTCATGCTTCACGCATAGGTGTGGAAAACAGACGAAGAAAATCGCATAGGGTGTTACCTTCATGGTGTTGGTCACTTCGGGCGACCAAGGTCGTGCTTAATTGCAAACGGTGATTGACTGTTAAACTGCGAACGGTTTATCAAATCCGCTGCGAATATCAGCGTGAATTACACGGCAAACTTGTCGTATCACTTAATCACAAAACGATATTTGGTGCATTTCAACAAATATAGAATACACCGATTCTCCGATTGGATTGAATCCTAGGTTAGTCATGCTGAAAAGCAGCAACCGGTTTGATGAGTCCGTGGATGATGACGATTGCGTTACTCTAATGTTGGAGCAGTTTCTTCTCTGATATGGGCAACTGCATAGTTGGCGAAGGAGCCACAGGGATTCGTTTTCCTATCTGTTCCAAACCCTGTATGTTTTCAGATCTACCTTTGCTGCCAATGAACGAACGCTTTTCATCGTGCGCCGGAAGCAGATTCAAGTATAGACAAAGATTGTCTAGTCACGGATAAATGTGGTGCAAATCCGTGGAAGTGTTTTCTGGCCATTCCAGACGAGGATACTCGTCGATATGTAAACAACGTGATTAAGCATACTAAAGGTAAACTGGCAGAACGGAACGGAGAAGAAAAACAGCTACCTTAGGGCCGTAAAATTCCACGGATTTCCACAGCCTTTATAGGTTTTACCCTCGAGTCCAAAACAACCCATCAAATTGATAAATGTCAAAACCTGTTCAGTGTACACTAGTGAAATGACCAATCATTAGGGCAGCTATTTTACGACATCCATATTATCGACTGTTTATGCGCCCCAGTTCCATCCAAATCGATTACCCAAAGCACATTCAACATTGATGAATGGTCACCCGCATCTCGGTCACAAAGGCCGATTATGGGATGTTGTGCCGAAAATTCAACGTTTCTTTTCCTAATGATCAACGCAAATCGACTAGGGCATGTTACCGCATTGATTTGACCTCTAGGACAGATAGCAGAGCGCGCACTCGGTCATACCCCATCAGGATCAAATGTTCATGGGAATCCCATTGACTTGATACGGTTTGCATTCTCATCCAATTAGAGAAAGATAGAACACACAAATAGCATTCAGCTATAATTGGCCACTCATAGGGTCACCAATTTTCATACCCATCTCGTCTGCCCACGGAAACTACGTGTGTTCAAACCTCCCCTAACCACGCATTCTTGGTAAACAACGATTTAGCCGAACAATTTTCGATTGACCCATAGTGAACTTC